ATTCAATGCCAGAGAGGCCTTCGGTCGGCCTGGCAAGGGAGGTCGTTGGTGCGTTGGTCATGGTGAACAAGTCTCGGTCGGGTTCGATACCCAAGTCGTCTGCAGCATCGGATGCGGCGAGGGGCTATTGCGCTTCAGGGGACCAGGGGAAGAGGGTCTCTCTCTTGTTCTGATGGCGGATTCGGGGTTTGGGAGGATGCAGCAAAGGAGTGGACAACGAAGAGACAGGCTTCAAAGAGCGACGAGAGCCTGGGACATGCTACTGACACATGCAAGAAGAAAAAGAGAGAGCACTAGAGAGGAGGATGACTAGCAGCAAAAAGGCCAGAGATGGGAAAGATAGGAGTTCCGAGGGGTGGTGTGGATGATTCGGATGCCTGCAGATCAAAGGCAACATGGGGCTTCCGATGAAAGTGGAATCTGTCATTGCAGCCGAAAACTGGGGTAGACGTCCCAAGCACGTATTCCAGCGTCGAAGGTGCTAAATCCGCAGATGACACAGGGGGGTGACAGACCCCTAAAGTCCCATGATAGGTGCTCGCCGGGTGTGTCGGGCAGGGGCCAAGTGCTGCTAGGCCTGGATTGGGGCAATGAGACAAGGCATGGGATCCATCACGGATTGACATTTGCTTGGCCGGCGTCCAGTTTCCTAGTTCTCCTTGCGGAAGACTCTGCAGCTCGGAATCAGGTGCCACACTTCATTGAGATCTACAACAGTCGCTACCTTGTACGTTGTTACGCCTGCATCGCTACTTGGCCCCAGCTCCAAATAGAGCTTCCCTTGGGTCATATGTATACTTCAGATCCAGGTGCCAATAGTTGGTCGTGTCTGCCTTTGACACCAGCCATGCCTGTTCCAGAGCCTGAACGACATCCTCAGGCAAGGGACCCTTCTCGAGATGGTTGAGGTTGTCCTCGAGCTGCGCTACGCTCGAAATGCCGATAAGGATGCCGTCATTGCCGTCCTTGATCTTCAGCTGCGAGTGGTGTACCGTCCACCGCAGCGCCGTCTCGATCATGCTGAGATCATGCTTCTCAATCGCCTGCTCGATCGTCTGCAGCGCCTTGAACGTGCTGTCGCGGAAGTACCGCTTGCGATAGTTGTCACCCGTCCCCGCCGTGTCCGAGAAGCGGCCCTCCGTCGGCACAATGTCGCGTGACTTGATCTTGCCGGAGAACAGGCCACCGGCGATGGGGTTGTAGACGACGATATCAAGGCCGTAGCGACGGCAAGCGGGGATCAGCTCGGCATCGAGACTGCGCGTGATGACGTTGTACATGCCCTGGTAGATGGTAGGCCGCACCCAGTTGTTGTACTTGCACGTCATCACGACCTCGGCGACCTCAAATGCCGTAAAGTTGCTGAGGCCGAGGCGCACAAACTTGCCGGCCTTGTGCAGCTTGTCGAGCGCCTCAAGCGGTTCGGCAAAGGGCGTTGCGCGGTCTGCGGCGTGGAGGTAGAGAATCTGCACGGGTTAGTCGATCGTTCCATTGCGTGCCGCCCTAGGGACGGACAGTGATAACAACAAGAGCACTCACGTCGACGGAGTCGGTGCCGAGCTCCTTCAAGCTCGTTTCTAGCGACTCGACCACCTTATCGGCGGCATGGGAACCCGGTTCAGAGGGGTACTGAATCTTGGTCGCCAGGGTGAGGCCCCTTTCCTTCCACTTGGCCTCACGCGTGAAGGCTTCCTGCTGCTTGCCGACATAGACACGCGCCGTATCGACCTCGTTGTAGCCGCGGGACTGGAACACATCGAGGGCCTTATTATACGTCTCGAGGTCAGTGATGCGCGCGCCGTCTGACTCACTGGGCCCAAAGGTCATCAATCCGAGGATGATGCGGTTGGTGGGGTTGCTTGCGATCAGAGGCATGGTGGCGGTATTGCTTCGTGAGCGCTGGAAGGGTGACTGGGTTCAAAAGCAGAGCAGGCTTCTGCTCTCTCATATTAATACTTCCCAACGTGCAGTTAACTGTATGAGTCGAAAGGGACCCCTCTCGGTGATACGTGATTAACCCCGCCATAGACTTTGGCGGGGTTGCCATGTATTTCTGCACCATGATGCTGCGAACGTGCCATCGCGTCAAGCTGATTTGGCGTGCTTCCGAACCCAAAGACGTCATTGGCTTCAGCGCATGAATCCACTGTGCCGATTCTACCGCTGCACCGGATTTAAGTACGGGAAAGTCGTTACATGCTGCTCTCTGCTGTGTTAAAACACCACCGGCGGTGCAAACCACTGGCTTTTAGCATTAGCGTCGAGTCATCATGGGGCTGTGACCGAGCGACATTTCGTCGTGCACAGCTGTGCAAGATTGAACATGCCAACAGTCTTCATACCAAGGCCAATGGTTCAACTTGGATATACCTCCCTGCCTGGGTACCTAAAGGTATAGGTAAGGTACACCAGGGACCACAGCACATCGACGGCTGGTACTCCCCCTCATGCCATGGCCCGTGCGCTACACGTGATGAAGCTTAAGTGCCTGCCTCCTCCTACGCGTCGCCAATTCCACTCTCGCGTCTTGTTCGCGTCCATTCCACAATTCCTCTGCCAACCGACCGACTTCCGACAACCCCAGTCTCGGCGATTCATCTGTTGCCAGCAGTATCGTCACCGACTTCACATGGTACCACTGTCTTTCCCGCGCAGTGCGACCAGCAGCTCTATCATTCTCTTTCTTTCCCCCTTTGTAACTTCCAACTTGCTCTGGCGACCGACCCTCGCGGTCTGAGACCCCGACCCGACGATAAAGGGCTGTGTCCCTCTGCGCCTTCCTCACGATGGCCAAAGGTCCAGCTGCTGCCCCCGCGCAAAGCGGCATCTACAGCGCGACATATAGTGGTGTATGTCCTCTTCTGCTTTCTCAGCGCCCTCGTTCCCCTTAATGAACCCTACAAGGCCGCCCCAGGGTCGTTGCCTGATGTGTGAAACCAACACGGCGCTTACAGCAGTTGGGGCGGACAAACGAGGATCGACCCCACGAGGGGTAAACGGCAACTTCAACCTTGCCTTGCCTCTTCCTCTGCACTGTATACCTTGGCGTTCTTCTATCATTCATGGATTCGGGCTGACCCATGTTGCCTGCAGGTCCCTGTGTATGAATTCCAATTTGGCGATGACCTGAAAGAGCATGTGATGCGGCGGCGGCAGGACAACTGGATCAATGCAACACATATCTTGAAGGCCGCAGGCTTTGACAAGCCGGCGCGCACCAGAATTCTGGAGCGCGAGGTGCAGAAGGAGAAGCACGAAAAGGTGCAGGGTGGCTACGGAAAATATCAGGGTACCTGGATCCCCCTCAACCAAGGCCAGCAGCTTGCCCAGCGCAACAACTGCTACGACCGCATACACCCCATCTTCGAGTACACTCCGGGCAACGAAAGCCCGCCACCTGCCCCTCGTCACACAAGCAAACCCAAGGCACCAAAACGACCAGCTGTGCCAAAGTGGCCAGGTAAGCCAGCCTCTCAACCTGCCTCGAATGCCCTGTTGGCAAAGGCTAAGACCCTGGCTTCAGTTGCTCCCACCGCCAGTCAAGAAACGTTCGACGCAGGCGACTCGATGATGCACGATGATGATACCCCTGACAATATCACCATTGCATCCGCCTCATACATGGGCGAGGATGATCGCTTTGACTTGTCGCAGCAACAGCAACCAACAACTGGTCATCGAAAGAGAAAACGTGACGAGGCTGCGATCCAGGACATGACACAGCAACAACATTCCGTATACGGAGATGAGTTGTTGGATTACTTCCTTCTCTCTAGAAACGAGAAACCCGCGCATCGACCGGAGCCACCACCAAACTTCTTACCCAACTGGGTCATCGACACTGAGAGTCACACGGCGCTACATTGGGCTGCGGCGATGGGCGATGTCGAAGTCATCAAGCAACTGAAACGTTTCAACGCGGATCTGGCCGTACTCAACGTTCGCGGCGAGACGCCGCTCATGAGGGCCGTTCACTTTACGAATTGCTATGACAAGGAGACCTTCCCGATGATTGTCCGGGAGCTGTTTGACACAATCAACCTCCGAGATCATAGCGGTGCTACCGTCATCCACCACGCCGCCACCATGAAGAACGGCCGCGTCACGAGCCACTCTTGCGCTCGGTACTACCTCGAGGTCATCCTTACCAAGCTGCAAGAGGCCGCCGATCCCCAATTCATCCAGCAACTCATTGACGCTCAGGATCATGAAGGCAACACGGCGCTGCATCTAGCCGCCGAGAGGAATGCCCGCAAATGCATCCGTGCCTTGCTCGGACGTAATGCCTCAACCAACATCCCAAATGCCGATGGCGTCCACGCCGAGGATCTGATTAGAGACCTGAATGCCTCCAAGAAGGAACAGCGCGGGCCCCACCGCTCGTCATCGCCGTTTGGCCCAGAGTCGCATCGACACGTCTCCTTTCGAGACGCCCTGACGGATCAGATGCCGTCGAAGCCTAACCTCTCCTACGACTCGGAGGCTGCCAACTCTGTCCACTCGCGCATCGCGCCCCTGATCTTTGAAAAGTTCAGCGACCTTTCTGCTAGCTACGACGAGGAGCTGCGCTCTAAAGTTGATGCCGAGCGCGACGCCCGCCGGGCCATCGCCGCCAATCAGGCCGAGCTCAGCAAGATCCAGCAGCAGATTGCCGAGCTTGATGCAAAGGCCGAAGCCGACGAGGACGCCGCCAAGATTGCCAGCGAGGCCAATCTCGCCAAGCACCAGGTCGTGTCCCTCATCACAAACCAGAATCGTCTTCACATCCAGCAGTACGTGGACCAGGAGCTGAGCCTCCTCAACGGCGACGTCACCGACGGTTCCTACGAAGAGCGTCTCGAGCTCGCCCTGAAGCTGCACGCGTCGGTCAACGAGCTGCGCCAGTCCGAGGCCGACTACGTCGATGCCCTGAGCATGGTGGGTATCGGCGAGAATGTCGACAAGTACCGCCGGCTACTTCGGCAGTGTCTCGACCCTAAGGACGCCGAGAACCTCGATAGCAATCTCGACAGCCTCGTGGACATGATGGAGGAGGACCACGACATCAGTGGCGATATGCAAGGCGTGGGTGTCGAGCCGGTTGACGTCAGCATGGGCCTGGCCATATGATGCGGTCAGCAGTGGTGGCGGCGGCGGCCTGACGCTGTACAGGCGTCCCTCGCAGGCGTCTGACTATTCGTGACCCCTTGGGGGATCTTCTCCGTGGAGGAGCGTCTGTCTATACGCGAAGACCTATGTGTATTATAAAGCCTTCCGAGGTCATGGCGGTTGGATCTCCGCCTGACGTCTTTTGTTTTCTTCGATTGGTATACTGGGGCGTAACGGATGCGGCGGCAATTGGCCGCCACGGCGGTCTACCTGTTTCTTTTCTTTTCTTTTTCAATACATGGTAGCTGGAGGACGCTGAAGGTCCACCTCTCAAGGTGACTGGGTCTGCTGCTGTTGTTCACGAGGCGTTGGAAGGGACTTTGAGGATCAAACGCGCGGACGGCACAGCTTGTGCCGCATTGTTGCTATTCGATCTCAAGTAAAAGAGGTCAATGCTATGAATTTGGAAGAGTCCATCCTCTCCTCACGTCTCCGTTCTGGAGGATGGGTACGGCCTTGAGTAATCTACAATTCTTCAGCCACCAATCAGTTGCCTGCGGGGGGAAGTTGGCTTCGTCGTCGATGTCACTCGCTACTGCTACTGTGAAAGGGCGTGGCTCTATCTAGCATGGAGAATTCC